AAATCCTCAACCTTGTCTTATAGACTTCAATTCTTCCTTTACTCATTCCATTTCAATAATAATGAACGAGTAATAAAGTAATTCATTCCACATATTCATGTACCTTTGCCTCTTAGCTCATCTTGCAAGTTAATGCATAAATAATACTTACAAGATAAATCAATACGCATTTCTCATACATGAATCAATACCAATCATCACATTAATCACCAATCAAACTTAATACCATAAAATTTCAACCAATCCACAAGTTTCCTAACAGATTCTAAATTTTCCAAGTCTTTAAACATGCTTCTAAAGTCAAGTTTTTTTGTATCCTTGTACATACCTTGAGTAAACGAGTTGGTTGGCCACTTTAGGAACTAGAAATCACCCTCTACGAAATCCTCTCCTAAACCAAACAACAATAATTCAATCAATACCCAAGCAATACCAAACTACTTTAAAACCCCTTAAACCATTGAAATAATGCCTTTAAATTATTCACAATAGTCAAAGTTAATAATTTAATAGTTCAACTATAAGTTTATATGTTAAAATCATGAAACTATAGCTTATAACATGAACTTCCAGCAACTTTAAAGTAAGGAATATAATCTGAAATTTTAGTTTAAGATTATAAAACAACCTCATAGACATCTCTACTTGAAAATCATTATGTAGTAGGTTAGTATGTCAAAAACCTAAAATTCCATCGTAAACCATGATTTAAAACCTTTAAAACCAAGACTAAAAATCTGAAAATTTAATTTAATAATAGAATGTATGAATACAACAATCTAAAATTGAAATATATAATTAGAATTCAATTAGTTTCATAAAAACTTAATCAAACCTTCAAATTTCACAACTTAAACCCTAAATTAAACATAATTCAAATCTGAAAATTAATTTATAATCAAGATAATTGAATTTAAACATAATTTACACATAATATAATTAGATAAATTAATCAACACGTTATAAACCCTAAAATCATGAAAAATCAAGATTTATACCCTTAATTCTTAATTAAACCAAATCTGAAATTTTATTCCATAAATCAAACATAGTATAATTCATAATTTGTAGTCTTTTGTAATTCATATACATAATCAAACCATAATAATAACAATTAGAAACAAAAATTTATCAAAGGTTGAAACTTAAATCAATTTAACAAAACAAAAGAGAAATAAAGAAAGGAGAGAGAGAAGAGGGCAAACTAGTGGTTGTGGGTGAGCTGTGGTGGTTGCCAGAGCTGCAGGTGGGCACCGGTGGTGGCCTGTCATCGGTGGCAGTAGCATAGCAACGAAGAGATTATTTTTTTTTAATGCTTGTGAAACATTGAAGCAGCAAGGGAAAAAAAAATAGGAGGGAACTACGTGAATGAGGGGGGAGGAATTTAAGGGTTTTGGGGTTTTAAAAGTGTATGTGGGCTTGGTTTCCAACTTAAGTGGGAGTAGCAATTGTAGATTGGGCTTTAATGGGAGTTTAAGCTTTTTTTATTCAAAATTGGGCTATAAACATTATAGACAACGTAAGTTGGTGCATAGGGAGGGAAATTTAAATTAAAGTAGTGCGTATTAATTGTAATAGAGTTTAATTAAGTTTTTACATAAAATAATTTATTTAATAAAAATGAAATAAAATATTAGTTTGAATAATAAAGAAATATATTATAATTTACTCTAAAAATATGGGGGATTATATACTACCGGTTTATCTCTTAAAGATGCAATTATGTCTCTACTTGTTGGAACATTCATTGAGTTCATCTATGATAAGAGGACAAGGATATAATGGGGCTAGTAATACGAAAGGTCAAATAAATGGCCTTAAGACTTTGATTATGAATGATACTCCAAGAGCCTACTACATACATGTTTTGCTCATCAATTTCACTAACACCAGTTGTCAATTTGTCATTACTAAAAGGAATGATAGTTGTGGTTAGCTTTTTGAAATACTTGCAAACTTGTTGAATGTTGTTGCAGTTTCTTGCAAGAGAAGATAAATGACAATTTGTAATAGTCAAGCTCAAGAAGTTGCTCAAGCATTGGAAGTGGGGGAAATTTTGAGTGGATCGGGTTTGAATCAAGAGCTTAGTTTAAAGAGGCCCGGAGATACTCATTGGGGATCTCATTACAAGTGTCTTGTCAATGTCATCCGCTTGATTTCTACAATTGTTAAGGTACTTGTTCACATTGGGAAACATGGTGCATCGGAAGATAAGTTTAAAACTCAAATTGTTTTAGGACAATTAGAATAATTTGATTTTATTTTTGTGGCTTACTTGATGTTGACTATTTTTAGTTACACTAATGATTTGTGTATTGCTTTGCAAAGAAAGGAGCAAGATATTGTAAATGCCATGGAATTAGTTACTTTCACAAAAAGTGTGTTGCAAAAAATGAGGGAACAAGGGTGGGAGACTCTCTCTTAAATAAGGTTACTTTATTTTGCACTAAACATGGCATTGATGTTCTCACTATGGATGCTCTTTATGTTCCTCAAGGAAGATCACGACGCTTTGTCGAAAAAGCAACAAATCTACATCATTTTCGAGTTGAAATATTTTTGGGGGCAATTGATTTGCATCTTCAAGAACTTGATAATCGGTTCAATGAGAAAAGCATGGAGTTACTTACTTGTATAGCTTGCTTAAGTCCTAAAGATAACTTCTCATCTTTTGACAAAGAAAAGGTACTCAAACTTGCCTCCTTTTGTTTCGAAGAATTTTCAAGTTTTGATTTGATGACACTTGAAGGTCAACTTGATATGTTCATGGAAAATATGCACAAAGATGAAAGATTTCAAAATTTGCGTGATCTTAACTCTCTTTCCATGATGCTTATTAATACCAAGAAGGATAAGACATATCCTCCTGTATATTTGCTTTTCAAATTGATGTTGATTCTTCCCGTTGCTACGGCAAGTGTTGAAAGAGTATTCTCCGCAATGACATATGTCAAAATTAAGTTGAGAAATAGCATGGATGATCAATTTATGAGTGATTATTGTTTGGTCACTTTTATTGAGAAGGAGGTGTTCCTACAATTTCCCAACGAAGAAATAATTGATCGTTTTCAAAATATGAAGACTCGAAGGATGCAATTGTAATTTAATATTAAACTCTACGTATTTTTTTCATATTTCTTTTGAATTGTAGGACTAATTATATATTGTGGATTCTTTAGTTGTAAAATTTTAACTATAAAAGTATCTTTGTGTTTTTTTTAAAAAAAAATATTTTTGTCAAATGATGCAATGATTAGTTGTCGTCCCCCCGATTATATATTTCTGGCTCCGCCATTGATTAATATTGTTTCACTTTTTCATCCTTTGTTTAAAACTGCATGCATGCTCTCATATAAGAGCTCACCTGCATCAATTTTTAGGCGTTTAGCATGTCATACTATTTCTGTGCTATTTTGTACTCCCTCTGTTTTTTTTAAGTGCCCACTTCCTAAAAATGACCTTTTTCTTATAAGTGTCGTCCCATTACCAAAAGTGGAATTGATATTTGTCTTAATTCGAGTTCGGGATCAAAAGTTATGATAAAAACAAAAACCACAAACAAAGTGAAAAATAAACGCCTAAAATTTTCTAAACTCCATGGGGAGAAACGCCTAGAATTTTAGTTTCTCCCTAAGAATTTCGAAAATTCTAGGTGTTTTCTCCTAGGATTTTTGAAAAAACTAAGCGCTTGGCCTCCACCAAAAAAAAAAGGACTTAAACTTCGGGCCTCGGTTGGTGATGGTTGGTGGTGGTTTGTTAGGATGAGAGAATGTTAAAATATTGATGAGTTAGAGGGAAGAAAAACGTGGTTTATATGTGAGGGTATGTTCGTCCATTCATGTTTTAATGCGGACGTTACCCGTAAAATGAGGGTGTCATTTAGCTTTCCATTTTTTTCTAATATATATTTATTTGTTTGTTTATTATTTTCTTTTATCGTGGTTTTTTTTTAAAAAAAAAATTTTATTGCTGCACTTTATTCTCGTTGTCTAAGATAAGGGGTTTGCAGCATTTGGTCTAAATCGCACCAAATTGCAAACCAAACTATATTTTAGAGGTTTGGTTAGATTTACAGTTTCAAAATTACGGTCTAGTTTGAAAAAAAACTTCAAATCGCAATTTACGCTCTGAATTGATTTTAAAAAATTTGAAACCAAGCAAAACTACAACAAGAAAAAAATTGGTTTTTGCATAAAATGTAGTTTCCAGTTTCGTTTCTAATTTTTAAAAAAGTAAATAAAAATTAGTAAAAGTAAATGAAATCATCAGACAGTAAGTAAATGAAATTGCCTTAAAAGTTGGACAAACTAGGAATCAATTGAAAAAGTTGGGGAATTACAAAAATGTCATTAATGAGCACGAGAAATACCTTATCCGTTCGATTGTAATGATCTAAGGGCCTAGATTAGTTCCTAGTTCTCATTTTAGCGTTAGATTCTCACATAATATATATATATATATATATATATATATATAAAATATATATATATATATATATATATATATATATATAAAATATATATATATATATATATACATATATATATATATACATACATATATATATATACATATATATATACATACATATATATATATATACATATATATATATATACATATATATATAATATACATATAATATATATATATATACATATATATATATATACATATATATATATACATATATATATAATATATATACATATATATATATACATATATATATATACATATATATATATATACATATATATATATATACATATATATATACATATACATATATATATGGGAATTGATAGAATGAGAAATGAGAAAATGAGAAAGCTAATAATATCCTAACATATGTCATTGTCAATATGAGAAAGTTAAGAATAAAAAAAAGAGGAAATTTAAATTTTAAACCAAGATGATGTGTCAAGGAATTAGTGGTTTTCTCATTTTCTCATTTCTCATTCTAGCAAATCCCATATATATATATATAGAAATTGGATCATGTGAGAACACATCCCTTATGTGAGAACTCTAATCTATATAAGAACAAATCTAGACCATTGATCAAATTAAATCTAATCATCCAAAAAAAACATAGTAATGGCATTTCCGTAATTTCGTGAATTACACCTCCTTCTCTCTTTACTATTCTTCTTGGCTTTCACATTCAACATCTCTTTCTCTCTCTAACCTTTTTGCTGCTATCTCTCTCCTCAAATCAGTGTTTTTGGGGAAATTTTATACCAACTTGAAGTAAGCTTATCAATATTATGATCTAATTTGTTTTCAAAATTCGATTATTCACGTAATTTGCTGAAATTCGATACAAACTTATATTATTCATGAATTAGGTTTTCGCAATTTTTTTTGCTTCGCCAATTGCAAATGGATTCGGTTGAACAAGTTAATGACGAACGAAGAAGATAAGTATCAATTTTACATAGTTGATAATCGATTTTTGATTGAGGTTAAGCTAAGGATTAATGATTTTTATGTCTTAACTTAATGACTTTGGTTTAAGCTGTGTTTTTCAATTTTACTTAGCAATATTTGAGTTTCAATTGAGTAATGAATATGCATTAGTTAGTCCTTTTTTGTTTTATTTAATATGGTTTAAGCCGCTTGGTTTTGTTAATTTTGAACTTAAAATTTCGTTATTGAATTTGGGTTTCGTTTTCTAGTCATTAATTTAGTTTGATCAATTTTTTTTATTAAACAAGTTAATTTAGTGTAACTCATGGATTTAAGGTTGGGATGATTTTGCTAGTAATCATCGTAGGTTTTTCATTTTTTGAGTTACTTCTTAGCTTATGTAATTTACTTTTGATTTATATTATTTATTTTTAGTTGATGGTGGTGTTAGAGTTTGGTATGGTTTGGTGGTGTTGATTATAGTGGCTGCGTGGGGGAGCTGATGTTCTTGAGATGTTGTTCAGTAAAAGCAGCAAGGATATTGTGAGATGTTGTTGTAGCCTGAGGTGTTTTGTGAATGGTGTTATGTGATTAATTAGCAGGGAGCAGGGGTGTAGGTGCCATGTGCCACTAGATGTTGCATGGGTGAGGGAACTAGGCAGGTGGTTGCAGAGTGTTTATGTTCAACTATTTTCCTCAGTTATGTGCTTAATCTTCTTATGGATGGTACCAGAATTTATGATCTAATTGGTTGTATTTTTTGTGTGTTTGTGTTTGTGTCTGTCATTGGGCATTCTAGTCGAGGTGTGTGTAGTGTTTGTGTCTGTTTGGGAGAGTTGTGTTGGGTGTCCAGTTTAAGTGACAACATCTGGCAAACCACCTCCTTCAATCATAATCTTCATCCAAGTTACTGCCTCATCTAAGTTTCCTCTACTACAATGAGCATAGATAAATGTAGTATATATACAAGCACCTGGCTTATAACCTGTAGTGTGCATCTTCTCTAAAACTTGCTCATTTTAAGTTTTGTAGCTCATTTATGAAATATCAAGTTTTTGATTTTGTATAGCATATCTAATGAAATGTATGTTTTGTTTGGAGTTGCGGTCATTTGTTAAATTAGCACTAAGTATTTGCTCATTTGAGAAATGAGCAACTAACTATTTGCTCATTTTCTAAATGAGCAAAAAAGTGATTGCTCATTTCCCAAATAATCAAAGAAATGTTTGCTTATTTTCCAAATGAGTAACTAATTATTTGCTCATTTGACAAATGAGCAAACTAATGTTTGCTCATTTGACAAATGAGCAAACTAATGTTTGCTCATTTCACAAATGAGCAAAGAAATGTTTGTTGATTTAATGAATGATTAAACAAACTATTTGCTCATTTGACAAATAAGCATCTAAGTTTTTGCTTATTTGTTAAATGAGCAACTAAGTATTTGCTTATTTGATAATTGAGCAAATATATTGATTGCTTATTTGCCAATTGTTCATTTGATAATTTATTAGCCTATGCTTCTCTATCATAACATACTCCTTAGGGTCAATTTATAGTTTGTACAAGGTTATTCCTTAGGCTCAGTTTATGCTATTAGGAGAAGTCAATCTTGCTAATTCTGATGGCATGTGCTTTAGCTGAGGACACCCACTAACATCAAGGCTACCCAAATTGATAAGTTTTCTAATATTTTGTATGAGCAGGACATCTGTTGAGACAGATTTTGCTGCTAATGTTAGTGGTGACCAAGATGCAGCAAGGGCACAGTTAGGAGTTGTTGGTGATGACCAAGATGCAGCAGGGGCAGCACATTTAGGAGTTGTTGGTGGTGACCAAGATGCAGCAGGGGCATCACAGTTGGGAGTTGTTGGTGGTTCTACACAGCCACAACATAAGGGAAAGAAGTTCAAGACAATTGCTTCAAAGGACAAAGGAAAAAAGGTTTTAAAGGAAACATTAAAGAAATAAAAACTAAGTATTTGTTAAATTAGCAACTAAGTATTTGCTCATTTGTCAAATGAGTAACTAACTATTTGCTCATTTGCTAAATGAATAAAAAATTGATTTCTTATTTCCCAAATGATCAAAGAAATGTTTGCTTATTTTACAAATGAGTAACTAATTATCTGCTCATTTGACATTAGTTTGCTCATTTCACAAATGAGAAAAGAAATGATTGTTGATTTAATGAATGATTAAGGAAATGTTTGCTCATTTGAAAAATGAACAACTAACTATTTGTTCATTTCACAAATGAGCAACTAACTATTTGCTCATTTATGTTATGACCTTTCAACTATTGCTTTGTTCTAATTGTCTAACGTTTCCTTATGATTACCTTTTCTTAAAATGAGTAAACAAATATTGCTCATTTTAGCTGATTGATGCAAAAGAGCAAAACAATGTTGCTCATTACATATTTTGCTCATTTCGTAATTGAGAAACATATTTCTAATCATTTCATAGATGAGCAATATATTTGCTCATTTCATAGATTGAATATAGAAAAATAATTTAAAACATATATTTTGAGCAAATACTCTTTGTTATTTATCAAATGTCCTTAGTACTTGTATATTTGCCCTGGTCTCCATTTTCTGGCCAACTACCATCACTATGGTTGGGAGGCGAATGATGGTTGATATTTTGTGTCCTATGTGTGGTGAAGAGAGTGAAACAACTCTTCATACTCTTGCATAGAAAAATAATTTAAAACATATTTTGAGCAAAAAATCTGTGTTAATTTATCAAATGCCCTTGGTACTTGTATATTTTCCTCTCTGGCCTACTAACATCACTATGGCTGGGAGGGGAATGACGGTTGATATTTTGTCTCCTATGTATGGTGAAGAGAGTGAGACAACTCTTCATACTCTTGCATTATGTAACAGGGCAACATTTGGTATACTTCTCCACTAAGTCTCGACCTTAGCACTTTTGAGGTTGGATATTTTTTTGAGTGGTGCTTAGAGCTAGAGATGGTGCAAACTGATATTGAATGGTAAAGCATGTTCTGGAGTCTGCTTTGGGGTATATGGTTGCGAAGAAATGCCTAGGTTTGTGAAGGGAAGATGGTTGATCTAGCTGGGATCTTTGTTAGTCTTTGAATGATGTAAAAATGGTGGTTATATTTGAATCGAAATTGGATCTTTTGTGGTGACTTTTTTATTATGGTGACTATTGTGGTGGTTATATTATGGTGACTTTTGTGGTGGTTATATTATGGAGACTTTTATACCTAGCATTTATTTGAAATATTTTCTCATTTTATAAATGAGCAACGAGCTATTTGCTCATTTGACAAATGAGTAAAGAAATATTTTCTCATTTGTGAAGTGAGGAAATAATTGATTGCTCATTTCACAAATTAGCAAAGAAATGCTTGTTGATTAATGAATGATTAAAGAAATGTTTGCTCATTTGATAAATGAGCAACTAACTATTTGCTCATTTGACAAATGAGCAACTAACTATTTGCCCATTTGACAAATGAGCAACTAAGTTTTTGCTCATTTGTTAAATTAGCAAGTAAGTATTTGCTCATTTGACAAATGAGCAACTAACTATTTGCTCATTTGCTAAATGAGCAAAAAATTGATTACCCATTTCCCAAATTAAATTAAATGATCAAAGAAATGTTTACTTATTTTACAAATGATTAACTAATTATTTGCTTATTTCCTTTAAAAAAAATTATTTTCTTATTTGACAAAAATGGTTGCTCATTTCACAAATGAGCAAAGAAATGCTTGTTAATGTTTGCTCATTTGACAAATGAGCAACTAACTATTTGCTCATTTGACAAATGAGCAACTAAGTTTTTGCTTATTTGTTAAATTAGCAACTAACTATTTTCTCATTTGCTAAAAGTTGATCCTTCTTCATTGATATTTACAAAAAATTACAGGTTATAAAATTGTAAAACAATTCTTTGCTCATTTATCAAATGAGCAAACTATTTAATGCTCATTTGTCAAATGAGCTGATAATTCTGGCTCATTTTGTCAAAAATTAATATTTATTCTTTACTAATTTGTCAAAAATGAGCAAATAATTTGTCAAAATGAGGAATTAATTTTTTGCTCATGTGTCAAATGAGCAAAAAAATTCAATGCTCCTTTGTCAAATGAGCAAACTATTTAATGCTCATTTGTCAAATGAACAAATGATTCTTGCTCATTTTGCCAAATTAATGCTCATTTGTGAGTGTGTTTGAATGTTTTAAATATGTTAGCTTACTAGGTCAAGGGTAAAGCATTGTGCAAATGCACAAAAGATGTGAATTCAAATCCCATGTAGGTTCATTTATATAATGTGGAAACACAAGTTTGTATGAGAGTTTAATTGTAACAAAGTTTATATAGTTATAAATCATCAAACCATTTTTTTGCTCGTATAATTTAGTACAAGTTTGAATTTTTTTTTTAAATTAATGTTATTTATAGAGATAACCTATGTAGGAATTGAACCTACATCCCCTATGCATTTGCATAGTGCTCTACCAATTGAGCTAATAGGTTTATCATATGTTTTAAATCATTTTCTATGTTATAAATTTTTAATCAGCTCATTTGATAAATCTACAAAGAATTGTTTGCTCATTTGATAAAATGAACAAAGAATTGTTGCTCTGTTTTGACTCTAGAGGTTCATAGAAGTCGACTGACTAAATAGTCAAAATTCAACAACGGAATCCACTATATCACGTCATTAAGAGTACATACCAATAGCCACCTTTGAATAAGCTAGATATGACTTCAGATACAGAAAAATTCTACCATAACATATACTTCATGACTTCATGTATTCAAGGGTATGCTAAAGTAATACTACTTCAGCAGCAACCTTGTCAAGCACCAAGCTTTCTACAGAACTATTTTCACATTTAATTTTAGCTCAAATTCTTTAGTTCCCTTCTCTCGCCACATTAGACACTGGAAAAAGTAGAACATTTATCATAAGATCCTACTTCACACAAACATAACATATCATCCAAGGGT